CTGGCATGTGGTGCTGGGGGATTGAACCGTGGTCCCTGTGCTTTGCTAAGCTTGTTCTAAGTAGGTGCTTTAGACCACTGAGCCATCTCACCAGCCCCAGCAGAGTTCTTTTTAAGAAAATATAATTTTACAGCACAGGTCCTTATATTCTTTTCCATGCAATTTATATTTTATTTTAATCTCAGGTACTTTTTTAAAAAAAGTGCTTTAAATCAAACTCAGGGCTTCACGCATGCTAGGCAACACTGTTCCCCTGAGCAACACCCTCATGCCTCAGCTACATCCTAACATCTCAGGGCTGGAGCTATAGCTCAGTGGCACAGCACCTGCCCTGCAAACACAAGGTTCTGAGTTTGATTCCTGGTACCACAACAAAAACAAAAATATCTTAAATATGGCTGAAATAGGGCCGGCGAGAAGCTCAGCTGACTAAAGTGCCTGCTTAGGCAAGCTTAGGCAGCAGCAGGGGACCACAGTTTGATCCCCAGCATCCATGCTGTGCGGCAGCCTCAACCTCAGGACGGGCTGAGCTGCACCCCACCCCACAAAAAAAGGCTGAATTGTCTACCATATATGGAAAAGAAATATAGATAACTAAATTATTATACTAGCATATAGTAAATAAACATGACTAGTGAAATGAAATTGAGATGCTCTAGTTTCACTCATATCTATAGCAAAGTTACAAAAATATACAAGTGTCATTAAAACAACAGCAGTTGCTACCTAATCTTATATAACTCATTAAACAGTAGGGAGATGAAGGATAATTTTGTAGGAACTGCTATAAAAAATAAAGGAACTGCTTAGTGAGTTTGACACTAAATATAAGCTGTAAATTATAAATAGCTATAAACTATAAATAATTTTGTATTATTTTAATCACTATTTTCTGTATGACATATTTGTGATACTATTTAAAATAACATTATAGTATAATTTCTAAGTCTGAGAATTAATATGGGCTATTACTACTACTTTTTTTTTTTTTTTTTTGGAGGAACCGGGGATTGAACTCAGATCCTTGCATTTGCCAGTCAAGCGCTTATCCTACTGAGCCATCTCCCTGGCCCCACTACTATATTTTTTAACCAAAAAGCAGACATACAAAATGATTTGGAAGATCCAGGAGTATTATGATGGGGTTTCATGGAATGTCTCTTTTATTATTAATAATTTAAACATTCATCGAACTTTTGGTCAGACCTCATATACAATTGTCCAGATACAATTTTTTATTTTTGTGAAAAAAAGAGAGAGATTTTGGTGGACAAGTACAAATCTCTGTCATAATTGTTATAGCCCCTATTTCAGTTTGAGATAATTCATAAGAATTTATGTATTTGTTTCTTTAATCATAAAATGTTTAGATTTCATTAACTCTATGATTAAAAAAAAATTGAACTCAGGACCCTGTGCTTGCCAGGCAAGTGCTTACCGTACTGAGCTATCTCCCTGACCTTGAAAATATTTAAAATTATGATTTGTATGGAATCATTTAATTAATATCATTTATGCATTAACTATGAAAAAGCATTCAACTTTCCCTACAATATACTGGTCATATTTTATTCTTTTTCTCTCAATTAGTGACTGATTCTGCTTGTCTAATTTATAGTTTATATAACTTCACAATGGTCTAAAGATAAATATTAGAGAGCTACCTCCATCTTACTTCTCAAATATACCTAGATTTCAAGTTTATTTACTAGGAAAGCAGAATTCATTTCTTTCATTGCTTTTTCTTTTCCTTTTTTTATTTTTTAAGAAAGTGGTATTAATTTTAAAAGGTCACATTACTCAAAAACATACTTAATTTTTTTTTTTTTTTGCGGTACCAGGGATTGAACTCAGGTCCTTGTGCTTGCCAGGCAAGCGCTTATTCTATGAGCTATCTCTCCAGCCCACTATACTTAAATTTGAAAGAAAAACTTGTGGTTCATGTTTCCTGAATTGAACAGTGAAGGAAGACTATAAGAATTACTTATAGTTTACATACCTCTTCAGGTAACATGTCCATATTTATAACCCCAATCCACTTGGGTTAGTCAAAATACTTATATTGCTGAGATATTTTGATTATCACATACACTCATTTAACATGAAATATTTTATGTTCCATCTAGTCTGTTATTCACAGGGGCAAAATGTACATGGACTAGGATGTGGATCCCTTTTTTCCCTTACTGCCCCTGTTAATTTTGATTTACTATTCTTATTTTTTACATTTTCCTTTCCTTTTCCTACAATGCTGTTATTCATCCAGTTCTAGTAGTCAAGTCACTGGGTAAGGCGATGAAATAAAAGGTTTAGAAGTTTCCTTTGAGTTTTCCATATTCTGTTGTTTTTGTGATCTTCAAATTTTTCTAAATTTAAGCCCTTGAGGTTACTAAGTATAACTTGAAAATATACTACCATCAAAGAAAGGGAAAAGCATGTTTTACTGAAGCAATAAAGTTCAGTATCATCAACCTGCAAATCTGACAGCCCAAAATAGCCTTCATTATTTGTGAAAATTTTCTTCCTCCTCCTTGGTGGAGGTAGGGGATATGAGCTTGAGAGAAAAAGATAAGGAAAAACAACTGTTGAACGATTTAGTTTTCCAGAATCAGTAGTTTATTTTGTTCTAATCTCCTCTAATATAATGAGTTAGTAATCCAGAACATTCTGAGTTTACATAGGGGTATAATAGGATTTATTTTTTTAATAATTGGATTTAATATGTAATATGAAAGTAATAGTTCTGAGTTTTGTGAAATTGAATTTTGTGATGCATGGGTAGCCGATAAAATGTATACAAATGACATTATGTACTGAACTTTCAAAGGTTATTATAACCAGGGTTTTCCATCAACTGTCACCATTATTAAGCAACAATTGTACTCCACAAGTTTATTTATTTATTTATTTATTTATTTATTTATTTATTTAGCAGACCCAGGGATTGAACTCAGGCCCTTGTGCTTGCCAGGTATACTCCACAAATTTAAAATATTAGTAATCAGCTTTGGGGTATGGCAAAGTGGTAGAACAAACCAAGTGGCACAGTGCCGGAGATCTGATTACCAGCACTATAAAAATAAAATATGTATTATAATTTAAGTTTTAAATTACTATAATGTCTTTAGAATCTGTTACTAATTTGATCAAAGATGCTATCTAGACTTTTGAAAAGAACTCATGTATTTACATGTTATACTGTAAATTCCAAATATTTTTTCCTTTAATGCTGGGGACTGAACCCAGCCAGAGACCTTGTTGAGTTGTTGTCTTCACTCTGGGTTTAAATTTATGATCCTTCTGCCTCAACTTCCCAGAGAACTGGAATTATATGTATGGATCATTATGTCTGGCCTCATTTCTGTATTTAAAAAAAAAAATCTTTCTTCACTTTTATTTTTGTTCTTAGGTTTTGCAAATCGTTTTTCAAAACCCAAAGGACCACGGAACCCACCATCATCTTGGAATATTTAATACAATTCTGGATTTATAAGAATTTGGGCTGCAAGCCTGCCTGTAAATACAACTACTTGTTAGCTAAGACTGGGCGTGATGGTGCATGCCTGTAATCCCAGCACTCGGGAGGCTGAGGCAAGAGGATGTCTGTGAATTTGAGACCAGCCTGGACAAGCGAAAATAAGTGCTGTATATTGATAATGTAAAGGAGATATAATGTTAATAACTTTTAAAAGAAAATCAATAGGCAAAAAAATCCAATTTTGCATTTTCCTATCATTTACACTGGGTTAGAAATAGATGAAAAGTTTATCTGAGTTTATGAAGAGAATGCTGTATGAGACACAATTTTTTTTTTTTTTCTCCGAGGTAAACCTGATATTTAGCTGACTGCTGGCTCCATGGTGTCGCCTCCCTTCTGGGAGCGCAGAGCTCACTCCAGAAACATTTTAAAAATGGATTTATTTACTTTTGGAAGCTATTGTTTTATATTTTTACAGAAATGTAAATTTTTGTTCATTTTTGTTTTGTTCAGGCTGGTCTAGAACTCTTGGGATAAAGTGATAATTCTGCTTCAGCCTCCCCACTGCAGCATGTGTCACTATGTATGACTGAGATGTAAAGTTTTTTTCAGTCTTTTCTGAGAGTACATACTGTTTAAAAAAATTTTTTTTTTACCTTATCAGTACATGTGTGTACTACATAATGCTTACATTCTCAGTGGATAGCTGGTATGTGTAAAAGGCTTTATAAGAAATGGATTTCAATTAAATTTCTATGTGGGCAGAATATAATATAAAAATTTTGGGGGCCGGAGAGATAGCTCAGTAGAATAAGTGCTTGCCTGGCAAGTGCAAGGGCCTGAGTTCAATCCCTGATTCTGCAAAAAAAAAAAAAAAAAATTTTTGTTTTATTTTTTAAATCTTGTAGTTGCAGTATAAAATTACTGCTTATGACAATGCCTATTCTCTGGGAGTTATTTTTGCTTAAATGGAGTCACATATCTTTCCAAATGTTGTGGGAGACTGTAATAGTAAGAAAAATCATATTTAAGAAAATAAAATGTACAAATAATAACAAAAGTTTTTGCATTTTTATTTGTATATTCAACTAGAAAGATAGTCAACCACGTTCCTGCTGTTTTAATCTCAACTTCCAATTCTAGAAATACAAAAAAACTTGTACTTTTTGGTAATATTTTCTTAAAAAGGTCCTATTAAAGGTGTAATTTCTATACCACCAACTAGAGGTATTACTTATTTACGTTTCTGTAAGTGGATTTGCATTAAGACAATCTGACATTCCAAATCTAATTTTGGGATTCTTTTACCTCACAAAGGGTTTGAGAGAAACAGGACATTTAGAAGCCACCATGGAAACCGTCAACTCAGTATAAATAGTATATCAATATGAATAGAAAGGATTCATTTACCACCTAATCACTTCAATCATTTTATTTAAAAGCTTATTTGTAACTTTTAGAAACAGTATTAAACAGTATTTCCTCATTAGTATTTTTTATTAGGAAGCCTAATGATAGGGTAAACTCAATAACACATTATTACCTGTCTATTGTACCGAAGTGTATCCAATAGGTATCAATACTTTTTTTGTTTTGAAATTACCTTCATTGCAGCAGCGTTCATTTAGTTTTAATTCTCTAGGAGTCAGTGGTATCAAAGCAGTAATCTTACCTGCTGAGTAAGATCACTGCCACCCTTTATTTTGCAGTATCATTGCTAAGGACCAGATACACGAAAAGAATCCTAGGTAAGAGCGACAGTGACGAAATTCTCAACGGAGGTGATGACTTTGGGGAGTGCTCATTGGTAGACACGCCTGACAGATTTATGCAACCTTACACTTAAAAAGATATGAAAAAAAATCCTATCAAATGTAAACCACGCTTTTCCACCTAGGATCTTCCGTAGCTATAGAAACACACTCCAAGTAAATGCTGGAAGGTTCCCTGGGCTCCACGCAGGTCGTGCACCTGTCCGGTTAAGTCCGTAGCTGGAAGCACAGCCGCGTCCGCAAGGTGCTTCCACACTTTTGTAAATCGCAGCCCTCCTGCCCGTCTCAGCGTGTCTCTTTACGTAACAGTAAATCCTCCTTTTACCCTCCACTTTACCGTGTGTCAAGGAACAAGGCCGGAGATTCTTTCACCTCACAAAGGGTAGGAGAGAAATCTGACATTTAGCAGTCACCATGGAAACCGCCCATTCAGTGTAAAATGACGAAGGGACGCAGGAAGTCGGTAACGTGAGCGCGCCGCCACCCTCGGAAGGCCATTAACAATGTCCGGGCCGTTAAGGCGGTTGGCGGCAACCCCGCGGCCGGCGGCCGTTGCGTCGCGGCCCGGAGCGTGACTCGGCGCACGCTCGCTGTCGCCTCCGCCACTCAGAGGCGGGGACGCGGCGGCGGCGGCGGGACTACCGGTCCCACGCGTCCTTGCGCGGCCCAGGTCGCGTTACAATAGAAGCTCGGTGGGAGAGGCCTGCGGAGCGCCGGGGACTGCCGCTTCCGGCATGTTCAGCTCGGCGCCGAGCGCGGCCGACAAATGGAGGGAGAAGGAGAGACTGCAATGCCCAGAGGGCCGTGCGCGAGTGGCGCTTGCGCGGTGCGTGGACGGGGGGGCGGTCGGGCCATTTAAATGTGTGTTTGTGGGTGAAATGGCTGCGCAGGTCGGAGCAGTGCGCGTAGTACGGGCGGTGGCGGAGCAGGAGGAGCCGGACAAAGAGGGGAAGGAGAAGCCCCATGCTGGGGTTTCGCCGCGGGGAGTGAAGCGGCAGCGCCGGGCAAGCAGTGGGGGGTCTCAGGAGAAGCGGGGGCGGCCGAGCCAGGACCCCCCTCTCGCTCCCCCTCACCGGCGGCGTCGCAGCCGCCAACATCCCGGGCCGCTGCCGCCGACGAATGCTGCCCCCGCCGTCCCGGGCCCTGTGGAGCCCCTGCTCCTGCCGCCTCCGCCGCCACCGTCGCTGGCCCCCGCCGGGCCCGCTGTCGCCACCCCGCTGCCGGCCCCGGGCACCTCGGCCCTCTTCACCTTCTCGCCCCTGACGGTGAGCGCGGCCGGGCCCAAGCATAAGGGCCACAAGGAGCGACACAAGCACCATCACCACCGCGGCCCCGATGGCGAGCCCAGCTCCTGCGTCCCGGTGGAACTCAAGCACAAGGACAAGCAGGAAAACGGCGAGGGGACTGGAGGGATGACCGTGATGAAGGCCCCTAAGCGAGGTGAGAGCGGGCGGACTGCCCGGCTGGGCTCGCGGTCCCCTCGGTGCCGACATCCCGCCCCTTCAGTACGCCCCGGGGGCTCCCCAGCCCTGCCTGCCTCCCGCCGCTTCCTCCCTAGAGCCCGCTCGGGTGGACCCTCGACTTCTGGCCCTTGGCACGGGCTGACCTAATTGAGGCTGCTTGCTCTGGGGCTGAGCTGTCAGTTACCAACCCCCTTTCCAGTCCCTCGGAGCCGAGAAACGTTTGTTTTCAAATTGGGCAAGGTTTCTGCGCTGCGCGGTCCTCCCTTGGTTTGGAATTAGTGGATGGGACCCTACAAACTGCCTTTCTGAAGTAAAGGCGCGTCAGTAAAACCCTTCTTGTTTTCTTTCTTGGAAATCTTTGGATTTTACTTCCACCCTCTACCCCCACCTTCTAATATTCATAGGTCTGGTTCGGGGCACTTATGAATTATTATAAAGGCCACACATCTCACTGGGTGCCTTAGCTTTTGCAAGGTAAAAAAATCGAACACAATTGATCTTCCTTTTTACCTAGAGGTAAAAAGAGTTTAATTTTTTTTTTTTCCATTTTAATTCTTAGGAATAAACGAGGTTTTCTCTTGTATTTGGTGTTAGGAAACACGACCATTACCTCTGAAAAGAGATGAGAGTGCAGTTGATAGTAGAGGTAAAAATTCCAGTTGCATTTTATTCTGTCTACCAGAATTTGAACAGCTATGAAATTCCAATAGCCTTCAAGAATATTGTGAAACGTGGATTCTAGGGAAATTAAGTTGTTTTCCTATTCCCAAGTACTTGGACCATTTATTTATATCCTGTGTGGAAGAAGTGAGGTCTGCTTTTGATTCTGCCATTTGTTTGGGCTTTGTGCATGGTTTTAAATTATTTACTGTATTTTCTTAAGATTTAAGAATATTTTTTGTGTCTTACTAGTGGGCTAGTTTGGTTATTACATTTTGCTGAATGAGTCTTTCAATCTAAAATTTTGGAAGCCTTACATTCTTTCCACCTACTTGGTGTTAGGGCCTATGATTTTTTGTGTGCAACTGTACTTCCAATAGTGCTAATACAACTAATTGCTCAGGAAGTATTTATTGAATAGAAGTAAATAGTTTCTTGACTGTGTCCAGGTCTCATCTTTAGAAATAGAACTTGTGACAAGCTGACAGGTGGAACCATTGATGGTTTCCACCATTGATGTGGAATGGTCTTGCTGTCTTTGTTTTGACCTTTATTCTTCATCAGCTTTGTGTGTGTGTGTGTATCAGTACAGAGCTTGGTGAAATCTTAGCCATCGTTTGTATTAAATTTGTTGATGTAGAAGAGAAGATCAAGGCCCCAAACCGTGAGGAGGCTCATCAAATCACAGTTCACTAGTACCAAATTTGAGAAATTAAAAAAATTGAAATAATTGACACAACCGGGTGTAGAACCCAGATCTGTGAAGCTTGGTTCAAGCTTCATCCCCAGGCAACATGATTTTGCTTTCTTTCCTTATTTTTCCCACTCCTTGGATTGCTTCCTGTGCCACTACAGTGGCAGTAGTTGATTCTAAATCGAGAATCTCATACTTGTCTCCATTTTACAGGTAGAGGGTGGCAGTGATGTGTAGTAATTCACAGAGTACCTCTCTGAAGATCGCACAGGTTGCATATTCTTTTAAAAAGGAAATTAAAAACAGCTGTGTAATCCAGTATTGCTGGATCGAACTGATAGTACTGATGGATAAATGATGGAAATGTGCTATATTTCTGCTCTCCAGTGTGGTAGCCATATGTGACTGTTGAGCAGACTTGAAATGTAGCTAGTGTGACTGAGAAAGTGAAAATTTAATTTTATTTAATTCTGATTTATGGTTGCCCATATGTGGCCATTGGGTACCACAGCTTTCAACATTTGTAGTTTACTAGTATGTGAAGAGAAGTAGGTTAAGGTCAGATCATTTAAACATTTTGACTTTTGGCTGGGAGATTGTTGCAGTGTATACCCAAATTATATTATTCAGAAAAGAACTTAAAAACATTTGGTAAAAACTGCACGGTAGTAGTCTGGACACTTGATGTGCATTGGCATTTTAAAACTGTACAGAAAAATTAGTTTAACTGTTGCTTTTTCCGGTTTTTACACACCATTTGATACCTTTTCTTCCTTCTCTGCATGTTTGTTTTTCTTACCTTCACACAAGAGACATGCCTCTAGTTAATCTGAATTTAAATTGTGGTTCTTCCACCTTAATCTTTCT